ATTCATTTCCTTTCTAGTGTACTGGTACCAGAAGTGGAAGCAAGGTATGTTTTGGCTGGTAACTACTATTGTTACCTATATTCTGTGTAGGATGATTTTAAATCCTATGAAATTTGGCAACTCACTTACTTCTCTTAGGCCAAATGAGATGCGGTTCCCATATATATTGTACTGGATTGGGGACTTCTTGCATGCTATTCCAATGCTGTTGTATTCTGCTGTTCTTGTGGAAATAGTTTACTCCTTTTATTTTTTATAGTAAATGTATAACATCCTTAGAGACTATCATTTATTTGACTTAGTTGCTTGTCCATGCACGATAGTCAATGTGTAGTTCGCTGTTGTATATATAAGGGCATTGTGAACAACTCATTGAGCTACACTATATAATGCTTCAACTATTTCTTCATTCCTTTCATGAGTATATTCTTTATTTGTTAGAGAGTGTTTGGGAGAGCTTATTTTTTGTAGCTTATAAGCCAAGCTGGTTTTTGATGGCTTTTGGCTTTTATGAAAAAGTTTATAAAAATTGTTTGGGTAGTATTGCTATTTACTTAGTCAAATCTAGCTTATTTAGATGAGTTAATTTTTCAAAAGTTGGGGAACCCCAACTTTTTTATACGTGGCTTAAAAGCTAGCTTATATGGGATGTTACCAAACACGTAGATATAAAAAACTAGATTATAAGCTACTTTGACCAAAAAATAAGCTCCGCCAAAAACCCCCTTAGTCCTAGGCTGCTATTTTATTAAGGAAAAGAAAGGAAATGGAGGGATCATTTTCTCGGTAGCACGTTGTAAATGCTTTTTTTTATTGATATCGCTTGTGAGGGTAGTATGATTGTGCTGAATTCATGAACAAAAACCACTCTAATCATCAATGATAACATTCTGTAGAACCTGTTATGGATAGCATTCTGTATAACCTGTTATTTCTGTCTTTCTTTTGTTTTCATTTATTGTCCAAGTATGTAAGTAGTACTGTGTTCTCTTACTTTTGAGCTCATTTATTGTCCAAGTATCTAACTATTACTGTGTTCTCTTAATCCAGGTCAGCAGCAACTTGTGTGTATGTGTAGAGTTCTCTTTCCATTTGTGTTCTCTTGATACAGTTCAGTAGCAGAGAGAGAGAGAGAGAGAGAGAGAGAGAGAGAGAGAGAGAGAGAGAGAGAG